TAAGAACCCCTACCCTCTCCCCTTCTCCCTTGCCCTTCCCTACCTTGTTTTCCTCTTCCCCTTCCCCTTTCCTGAATACTAATCAACAATAGGCCCTTGTATAACAGAAAGAGATACTAGAACTAGATAAAGAATAGACTTAGGTTAAAAGAATACGCAAGAGAAAACTAGCATAAGGCTAACTAACAGGCTTAAGAAACAAGCTAAAAAAAGACCTTATATAGAGCTATAATATTTAATCTCTCTTTAAAGAAAGCTAAATTACTTTAGAAATAAAAGAATAATAAAATATATAATATAAACTTAAAACCTTAAGATCCTATAATATAATATTAATAAGTCTTATATAAAGGTCCTTATAAGTCTTTTATAAGACCTTAAAGTAGCCTTATATAATATTATAATAGTCTAAGAACTATAGAGAAACCTATTTAACGTTATACTATGTTATATAATCTTAGGCAGAGCTTGCGTGACTCCACAGTAGTAATTTGTATGCAGGATTCCTGCCCTAATCCCACTCATTGCCATTCACTGCTAGCTGTGATTTTGAGGTTTCCGTTGCTTCCCAAATAGGTATTGAGATCGATATCCTTGGTGTTGTGTTGCTGCTACTATAATGGCTCCCTGGACTGCCCATCCTCAATGCCCTGCTCATCTTCGTAAGGAGGTTGAAGCCCACGTCAGAGCCCTTCCCCCCTCATATCTTGTTGAGCCTATCAACGGTGAGGTCTTTGACAATGCAGAGCTTTGCCGAGAGCGTCTCCAGGGCTATGCTTTTGCTCAGGGCTTTGCTATCGTGCTTAAGAGCGGTAGTATGAAGCAGGCTCGCCCACGCTTCTATTTCCTTTGTATCCACCATGGAGATTCAACAGAGAATTAGAGGCAGCTAGAAGAGCATGTTGAGAGGGATATAGAGAATAACATAACTAGTTAACGTAAGTAAGAGGCAACAAATATTAACGCAAGGAGCTGTCCTTATCATATCTATCTTGCTTTTAAGCAGATAGGTAAGCGTGGATCTGGCGAATTCGGCCTTGTATTAGGTATCAAAAATAGCGCTCATAGCCATGCTATAGTAGTAAATCTATTGATATATTTAGAGCACAAAAAGGCTCTCTGAGGGTATCAACCTGCTCTAGAGCTGGGTAGGTCTCTGCGTTCAGCTTATATCTCTTATTCTGCAGCTTAAAGAGTGCTTGAACAGGCTGGTTTTCTACTTGATCAAAAGAGTTATTATAATCTTCGTCATTGAAAGCTCTCTGCAGAGAAAGATGAGTTTGCTGGCCTTGTTGTTGCTCTTGAGGACGCTGGTTTCGTTTTCGAATGCCGTGTAGAGGAGGAAATTGATCAAGAAAGTGGCAACGTCATTAATACTTAGTTACAACAAATATGGTTCGCTCATCCTGATCAAATTCGATATGCTTAACGCTTTATAGCAGATTGGACTCTCTTCGTCGACGGTACGTTTAATACGAATGCTCAGAATCTAGTTCTCCTTGTTATGGCCAGTATAACCAACTATAACAGGACTTTCGTTGCTGCTCTCTTATTCGCCTGTTCAGAGTCAAAAATGTCATTCGATTTCATCTTTTTGAGCCTTAAATAACGCATTTTCTATCCCCTAATTCCTTTACCCTGTTTAGTACTTAGTGATTAAGCAGCTGGTATAACAGCGTCGCTTCCTAAAGCACTTCCTGACGTAATTCTACAATACTGTGACTGGCATGCTGTAGAGAACGTTATAAAGCGCCTTGCGGATTCTGGCTACAAGAAGGAGGCTTGACAGGAGTTAAGAGATACTCTATAGCGTTTTGTTAAGAGCAAAACGCAAGATGAGCTTATTAAGTGACGGCTAGAGCTACATTTAAAGCTCTAGCCTACCGAAATCAAGTATCTAAATGAATACTAGGGTCCTCAAGAAACGCGCTTTCTACGTGTATATACGCGTATATATCCGAATTTGGGCAGTCACTCAAACCAACGTTCTGAGAGCATTCATCCTATTACTACGAAGATCCTCAACAAGAATCTAGGTATGGAGGAGGCTGTACGTCGCTTAGGAGAGACTGTCAAGGCCAATTTTCGAGAGTTGAATGAGATAGAGGCTTTTACTAGGAGCAAGCTACCTCGAACGCTTGATTTACAAGCATTTTCGTGGCTTGCAGATACAGTTATATTTCAAGCTGTTCAACAGTTATCTTCTGAGTAGGAAGCTACAAAGTTAGGATGTCAAGATGGCTCATTGCAAGCTGAATTAGCTTCTTGCATTAGCTGTGAATTATTACTTCGATTCGGCCTTCCTTGCAAGCACTATCTTCGTTAGGCCTGTCTTAATGGCTCACCAATACCACGCTCTTTACTTCATCCACGTTGGTGGTTACAAGGTGAACCAATTCAAGTTGCCAATTGGACGCCATTCTACCAAGTTATGAGCTTACCTTTGTCTCCTCCTCGAAATTTGGCCTCTCAGAACCCTTATTTATCCCTTGAGAGAAATAGGATGACAGAACTTGGTCTACAAGTCATACAGGCGCGAGATAATCTTACAGGGTACGCTCGTCAACGATACGAAATTGCAGCTGCTCAAACGCAACAAGGGCTTGTTGAATTCGCTCAAGAGCTTCGCGTTGATGACCTCCACGTTCGAATGCCAGATATTGTCAAGAGGCCTGGGTGGAATAGGCAGTTTAAGAGTCATGATAAGGTCAATAAGCGGCTTATGACAGGAGCTGAGGCAGCAGAACAGGACGCCAATGATAGAGAGCAGGCCACTGCTCGAGAAGCACGCCAGCAGGCTAATATAGCCCTCACAGCATCGTCTATAGCAGGGCTAATACCCCTCGCAGGGTCTCCTCCGCCTCCTCCTCCTCCTCCTCCTCCT